ATATGATAATATCCATTTTCCTGGAAAACCTCAACTGACATCACAATATCCAAATCCTGATGATCACATAAAATGGTGACAGGAGCTCAAAGCACCAGGCTGGACATAAACACAAAACTACTTCATAGTTACTTATTACACACATTTATTTATAGTGGCTCTGAAAAATTTACAGCTAACTCCTTCCTTGGAAAGATGACAGTGCAATGCTTACTAGAATTGCTCATTAGAGAAACATCTATTCCAGAAATGGAATGCCAACAGAAAAATGAGAAAAAACAGACGAGAAAGATGGAAATACATTGCCTCAACCTTTAACCCTGTGTCAGGAATTTATTCTGCCTTGGAAAACATTTGGCTTAGTCTTCTGACTCAGATATTCCGAGGGCTTTTATAATCCTCCAGTAGAACACCTGTTGGTTAATCCCTTGTTCTAATCTACCTTGGATCACCTCGTGGGGAGAAGAGCTGATGGATATGCTCCCAGCCCTCTGTGGCAGGATGAATCACTCTTTGGATGCTGAGCAGGACACACTGGGGGTCAGGACAGAGGTGACACAAGCTGCCACAAGATTGAAGGACCTCTTTCCCCAGATTAAAGTGGACCAGAAGATCTGTGCTCCCTCTCTGCATTGTCCCTTGAGAATAGATTTTGTGCTTCTATTTCCTATACACAAAGCCTAGTTTGCTCTTTTTTTTTTTTTATTTTTTTTTATTTTTTATTTTCAGACTTCCCTTTAGCAACACGTAGCAAATAAAGCCCTGCAATGTTTTGCCATGACCAGGCCAAAAGCTACAAGTAAGCATCAGTGGCCCAATTCTAAAAGCAGCAAGATTTACGCCAATGTAATAATGGTGTTTAAATGTGGTGTAACTGTGCATTTCCACCACCTAAATCACCACAGACATTCTTCATATTCATAGCATTTAATCTTTTCCTCTCTGTGTTTTTAAAATTAAATTCATAAGGAAACTAAGAGCTGCCTCTGTCTTCCTTCTCAGAAAGGATAGAGGATATAATTTTCACAAAATCAAGCTAAGGTACAACATACAGCTATACTGATGTAGAGATATAAATACACACCAATTGGAGAATTCAGAGTTTCATCTTTCTCCCTCTGCTTTACTTCCTTTTTTCCCCTCTCCCTTAAGGTTAAAATAACATTTAAATACTAGTTTCTGTTTTGGAAGAGCAGCTTATGTTGCCAGCAGAAGTATCTCAGAACAAAGCCAAACCCTGCATTAGCACAAAGTTACAGTAAGGAGGTAACACATAGGGGTGCACAGACCATAACATCTTCAGTTCCTTCTAGATGCAGCCTATCCCACGATTATCTCTCAACATGTTTGTGATAAACATGAAAAATCCTGTCTCCTTATATCCATCTGCAGACCCTCGTTTTAATTTTGTGACTTGGAAGGTTCGTAGCACCACATCCAACATCCTTCCTTGTTCACTTGGCAGGCTGCAAAGGCCACAATGTGTGGAGAGCTTCTTAATATGAGGTGCTCTTCCAGAAAATTTACTAAGGAAAGTGGCATTTCCCCTCCAGTTCCCTCTTCTGGAGGTACCTCAAACATAATAAGACAATAATCAAGAGGAAACTGGACATGTAAATGGGGATTCACTGGTATAACATGAAAATCTGGCACACTACAGCCTAAAACAGCACTTAGTACCCTCTGAACTATAGATTTGTCTGTAGATTTTTTCATCCCTTTTTATAATATTTTTTTTCCAAACAGATAGTAAAATTGCTTTATAAAAGAAGAAGAGACAAAATATAAGAAAATTCCTACAACTCAAACTGGCCTGGCTTATATTTGTATGTTACTAAACAGCTGCTGAGGATGTGTGTAGCTTGATACTCCAATATCTCCCTAATGCCACAGGAGGGATGTAAATCCTCAGTTCTCCTCCCAAAACAGTTTTATTTGGGAAACATCATGCTCTTGGTATAAACAAAAGCATTTATTCCAACAGAAGAGAGTAACCCAAGGGTCCATGGGGATATAAACATGCAGAACCTTTGCTTTCTTAGACTATTAGTAGTTCTTAAGCTTATTAAAGGTGGCAGGGATCTCTTAGGAAAATATATTGGGGATCTGGGATCTCGTAGGTAATTTTTTTCCCAAAGTGCCTGTTGGCAGATTCTCACTCGTTTTTTAGTCCTAACAAACTTTTTGCATTGGTTGCTTTCTGTGTCATTTCTCAAAGATTGGTTCAAATGAGGGATTCTAACTTCTAAATCAAAGATCCTTTGTGAGTGGATCTGTAGCCAGCACTCTTTAAACAGGAGCACATGAAAAATCAAAGTTTTGACTGTTGGCATGGTGCAGCAGTCAAATGGCCTTTCAAGGCTGTGACTGAAACATCCACACAGCAAGATGGGTGGAGATGGAGCATCAGGAAAGTGTCTGGGGAGGAGGGCAGGCTTTTCCTCTATCCAACACTCTTTCTTTGGAAAGCAATCTACCTTTTGCCAAGACCTCAGAAAAAGCCTTGCTTGTTTCTTCCCAGCTTCCTTTTTATGGGAGTGCTTCCTTTTTAAAAGGGTGCACTGCAGTGATGAAAACAAGAACGGACTGCTCCCCAGAGAAGTGTGAACACTGTCCTAATGACAAGAGGGAAGGTGAGCAACCTATACATCTACAAGAGTCTGGAGCAGAACTCAATCCAGATTCTCAAACTGGATATACTCAGTTGATCTCTTGCAAATTTCTGTACTTCAATTTGTAGGAGGAATTGTGTCCTCAGCCAGTGGTTTCTGAAGGAAAGGAATTTGTCTGTATGGATCCAGGATGAGGAAACAACAAGTGTGTTTTTTCTCCAACACTTCATTGGGACAGTCCAGTGTTAAGTGCACAGCACAAAGATACCCAAATCAGCTTGGCCACCAGGAATGAAGCTGATCCACTTTTTCCATCTAGACACTGCCTCTACCCAAAGGAATACGCATGGATCAAAGGGAAAACCCCAACAAAACCAAAAGGATTAAAGCACAGTTTTGTATTTTACATTGCAAACACATCACCACCTACAGTGTAATTTTAGCAATGCAACTGCTATCAAACATTCTTGAAAATACTGACATCTGAGGCCAGATGCAGGACTGCCTCTTTAGTTATTACTCTCAGGCAGTGCATCTGAAAGTCTGGAAAGAAGGGAAGTATTTTTTTTGAGTAACAGAAAGTATTTATTAAATTGTAAAGAGTACAATCAAGTAGAGGTTGAATTCCACCCCCTCCCCCCCAAAAAAAGCAGCCTCAGAAAAGCAGAGTATTTTAGCACAAATGCATCTTAATTTAATTCCAACAGTGAAAACAGCAAACAATTACAGAAAAAAGCATCTGCTGCAGTGTATAATGTTTCAGCAATGCCACAGCTACCTTCCAGAAAAGCATCAAAACCCTCACAAACTCAAGATTCCTATCAGAGATCCTTTCCAACTTTCTCTACTGGCTTCAGGGAACCATATTTCTCCCCTGCTGAGACTTTTCTATTAACTAGGCCAATTCTAAAATAAAGTGAACTATTATTATTTGTACATCCCACTTACTAGTAATTTTCATATATTTGCAGCATGTCTTGATTTTCTAAAATAACAAAAAATGTATTTATGTAAAAGATCAAGATTTAAACCAATGAGTCAAGAACTAATTTGCAAAGCTTGCCTCCAAGTACAAAAGGGGGACACGAACTGAGAACTGAGATAAAGCTTTATCTGAAATCAGATTTATATTCAGCCATTCTGATGCTCATGGAAATGGCATCTGCATGTTCTTCTGCAATAATGGAAGAGCAGTTCAAGTAGAAGGGAATAGAGCACCCAAAGTGAACTAGATTTTACCTTATGAAGCCTATTTCAGATTTACAATCATCAAAAAATTTTAAATAAGAGATCCTTGAAAAAGAAGGAACAAGCTTAAATATTTCTGCCTTTCTCCCCTCCTGAATCTGAATTGTCTAATTAGCCAAAGCTCAAATTATCTTATCTAACAATTACTACATGTTATGACTTATGTCATACTACATTGTTACCTGAGAATGGCTTTTTTTTAAATTATCATTTATTGCTGTTTAGCATAAAAACATTGAATAGTTTGGGTTGGAAAGGACCTTAAAGATCATCTGGTTCCAATCCCCCTTGGGACACCTTCCACTAGACCAAGTTGCTCAAAGTCCCAGCCAGTTTAAGGGATGGAGCATCCACATGTTTCTTTAAAACAGCCTTATTTTAAAAACTTTAAATCCTATAAGTAATCAAACCTACAATCATTTATTCCATCTAAATGGAAGAAAAATCAGCATAGGTTATTTTTAAGGGGGAAAAAAATTCCCTTTGTAGTCTGCATGTTTTCTCAAAATTCTCAATTTTTTTTCTAAATATTGAACTGCCTTTTTTTTCCTCCTTCAAATACCATGCTCACTTCTTTCACAATGCCAACCAAAAGCCAGTTGACTGTTAGTGATGGATTACCTTATGATTACAACAAAGCAAGAGACTGAGAATTACCATTTCCTTCCAGTTCCTTCAGGCCATGTAAATTTGCATGTAAATTAATAAACTAGAATGGCAGTAGCAAAACTCAAGGGAACTAAGATAATTTCCTGCTACTCTAGCAAGTTGGCTTTGGGTTTTTTTTGCCAGCCTTGGACATGGTGGCATCTTTCTTTCCTTCTGGATGGAAAATTTTGCGCTATTTTTCCCTGTTGGAACAACATGTTTCGGAGTTACTGCAGAAGTGCAATCACACTTGTGTGTCTTGGCTCACAGGCTCTAAGGGTGATGCTAAGGGCTGCACAACAGTCCCCCACCTCCCAGCACACCAGCATCCAGTCACAGCCAAAGACTTGGGGACTCTGTTATTTAACACAGCATAAATATATTGGCGAGAAAAATGGACTGATGAGACATCTGATATGAAATATCACTGTTTGAAATACAAATAATAGGGAAAAATGAACAAGAATAAGTGATATTGAAGGTGTGTCTTACCATAAATTCCAGTTGAAATACAGGGAAAGGCCTGTAAAATGAAAAGAAAAAAAGATCAGTGGGATTTCTGTTTACCATGCTTTTTAGCAAAACCAAGAGTGTTTTTAAATGCCTGTTTTTTAACACCCAGAGGTTATATGTTGTAGCATTCACTGATACGGAAGTCAAATCACAGCCATTCTCACGTCATTATATGAAATATATTCCATATGTTTTCCTTCCTGCCACATTAATAAAGCTGCATTCTTTTTCACATCTTGAGCTACAAGCAACACTTGAACACAGAATCTTTCTTAAAACTGCCTTTTGAGCTAAAATTTAATGCTATGAACTAAAAATATAACACCATAAGCTAATACAGTAGCAAGAAAAAGAAAAGTAATATCATCTGGGTAGAGTTAGACAATGTGTCTTCATCAGGAAAACAAGCTTGGCCAGCTTAGACTATGTTATGCCTCTTTGCCATGCCCTCATTCACTATAATCTCCTTTTTTGATTCAGTTCTTAACCTCAGTTCTTTCAGACATGTGGTTTATGGAGTGACCCAACACAGCTGTAGTGCTACAAGCCAAATGTTTGTTTGCCAGTGCAGGGGGAAGAACTAGAAGATGTAGGTAAAAAAAAAAAAAAACAACAAAAAACCCAAAACCCAGTACATTTTCGGGGCAGCTAGGACGTCAAAGAACATACATCATGCAACAAGAAATATTACAGACACTCTGCCAGCAAGAACAATAATTTACATTTCTGCTAGCTGTATGTGCTGTCTTGAGATTTGCATTTTTGTGAGCTGGAATCAGTTTTCCACCAGGAAAAAAACAAGATAGGCAATTTTTTTGTGTTCAGCTGACATGTGATATCGCCTTTGCCTCCCACCTCTGGACTGACAGCAGACACAGCTGAAACGTATGAGAGCACCTGGGACCAAAGTCTCAAATATCCACCCTGAGGCTCCCTCCAGATCCCCCAGCAATGAGTCATCATACAAAAGAAATTCTTCTTTAGCTAATCACACAGGAAAACATTATTCAAAGCTAATGCTTGCTTTATATTTAACCAGGGAATTAATTAGGGAATGGTGATTAAGAAAGGAGAGGTCTAATGGAAAGAATACATCCTCCCCTCTGAAAATACTTAACTAAAATAAAGTGGAGGAGAATTATAGTCTCATTCCTTCTCATAGCCACTACAACTTACATCCTGAAAAGTACTTAGCTTTGTAGTTTGTACCCAATAAATCACAAGAATCAGCTCCTTAAAGAAATGAAGAATAGAGTAGAAAAAAGAAAAAACAACCACCACATGGTTACAGATCTCAGGGTGAAATGGCAACAGATACTTCAGCAACCAAAGAGAAGCATAAAGGACAATTTTGTCCAGTTTAGAAAATGATCTTAAAATTCACCACTGCTGCAGTTTCTACGTATTAAGAGATATTTGCTCCAGAAAAGTGCTTTGTTTTCCATTCTTTGCAGAATTTGAGTAACAGCACAGGACTTAGATATTCATTTTCCTCAGAAAATGAGGAACAGAGTATTCATGGTTCCTTCTCTTACTGGCCCCACAACCAGGTAAGGGGAAACAATCCTGGCAGAACCTCCAAAACTCCATCAATCCTGTGGCTCCACATGGTGCCTGTGGGACAGAGCTCCACTACTAACTACAGACCCCCACATGTGTGACAAAGCCACCCACCTGGGGAACCTGGCCCGTGTGACAAAGCCACCCACCTGGGGAGCCTGGTCCGGAGGCGCAGCAAAGGGCACCAGCTATCCCCAGGTCACTGCAGGTTCATCACTGCTGCAAAGCAAAGGCTGGCACAGCCTCTAAGCAAGATCACAGATCCTTAAGGTTGTAAAAGATCTCCAAGACCACTGAGCCCAACCATGAAATGAACCTACATAAAGCCATGACAGGGACCTTGAAGGGGTTTTCAAGTTGGATGCTGCACCATGGGACAGGCTCAGCACACAGTGCCAACATCTGGCACCACAGCTGTGTATTGGGCTGCTGAGTCCAAGCCCCTGAGGGCTCCAGGGGAACAAGCTCCCTTCTCATCTTTGCTCGGAGAGAGAAGATGAAATCTGCATTTTCAGCACTGCATGGCAGCCACTTGTCAAACTTGCTCATCTCCATTCACAGAATAACGCGCTCTGAAACCACTCGGCGAGCTCTGGCTGGCAATTTGTGTGTCGTGTGTGTTTCTGAATACTTTAAAAATTATTGTGTAGGCACAATCATTACCTTGCTTTCAGTTTCTGCAATGCAGCTGAAACATAGCTGGAATATACAAGACTATAAAATCCCATCGAGTTCCTTTGGAGTATAGGTCTGTGCCATAACTCAGATGAGCTCTGCCCTCTCCCTCATTCAGAGATGATCACAGCACATAAGCAGCAGATGTAATTTCATAAAATGTGACAGTGCTTTTATTCATTCAAGAAAGACCCATGCCCAAGATCACATATCAGCCGTGTTTCCTCTTGGCTCCTAGGGAGACAATTTAGTCTAGATGCCAAGTTGAAATTATTGGCAGAGCAGTAATGGGGAATTCACAGCATGGATATCAACATACTACAATATTTGGCTTATGGACAAAAGATGTTAAGGTTTCTAACCTTTTCTGTGCATAATTAATAACAACTTAATTACATATCTGATTTCAATTAAAAAAATCCATTTCACAGTAGGTAACATTCATTCCCATTTCCACAATAAAAATGTTTCTCATCTTAATTTGTTGCTGGTAACCACTATTTATTTATGAACCTTTAATTTCTTTGCTACCAAAATAGCATGCTTGCTTTATTTGGGGACTAATAAGAAGTTGCTACCCTGATAGCACTCAAAACAGACACAACTCTGGAGTTAAACATAAGTAATAAAAGCAGGAGCCTCCTACCACTACTGTGCTTTTGCAATCATCTAGAGAAAGAGGCCAAATTAAATCAGGTCTGTGAGTACTGCAAGACTGAAATTGATTTAATTCCTGTAGGAGAGGATGTGGGCACTCAGCCTCTGGTTCTTTTTAATCCAATGTGTTTTTACCAAGGCTACAGCAGCAGTGCTAATTAGGATGAAATGTAATGCAGCTTTAGGAGGAACACTTACAATAGTCACCATGCCGAGGCCAAGTTGGACTCTAAGACATTTCAGCAAGAAGGACCTGGGTATTTAAATATTTAAGGGCTTATCTACATCAAGGGGTTCTAGTTCACACTGAGCTGCAATGTATTAAGTGTTATACATGAGATGAATACAATTGCTAAGTCTACATGACCAGATGCCTCCTACTGCAGCCCCAGCTCCTAATGGCTTACCCAGAGAAAGGACTTCCTTCAAATTAAGTGCTTGGCATTCTGGTCTCCCAGTGTAATTTCTGCCACAACCAAGCCACATGCAAGCTAAGCACTTTTCTTCCAGCCCATAACACAGCAGTCAAAAATAATATCAAACACAAATCCTTCTCTGATTTCACTGTATCATCTTATGAAGAGGACTAATTCTCCTGTTTGAGAACCTTTCCTTCATCCACCTTGCATCACTGATATTCATATATTCATCGGACAAAGCTCCTAAAAAGCTTGTACATCTTAGATGCTTTCCAAAATAACATGCTCCATAAAAACATGGAACTTCAAAAAACCCAATAAAACTATAAACTTCAGGGACTATTGTATGCCTTCTGCTGCACAAACTATTCACAAGGTACCTATACACATATTTAAGATGAGTAACATCTAACACTCGGTCAAGTTTTGCTGCTGTTACTAGATCAAACCTATAAACCATATAAACCAAACTTTTAAAATGATTTTATAAACCACTAACTATAATCCTATCCCTTTGCCTTTTAAATACTACTACTACTACTACTACTACTACTACTACTACTACTACTATCTGGAAGAAAAAAAAAAAAAGAAATCTTATGCTGTTTTCCAGTCTCTCTCCTGAAATTAATTCCCTGTTGGTCATAATGCTGAACCATAATTTAGCAAACAACAGATTTTGGAAGTAACTATCATTCAAAGAAAAACTTCTATTCAGAAATAGAGAATTCCAACATAATTCCCTATCCTGAAAGTGAAGAGAAAAAGGAACAATAGAATATGACAATATTTAAGCTCAGTTTTCACTACAGACAACACTAGCATATTTCTTATGTCTTTAAAGAATAAAAAAAGCAATTATCACCTCAAAAATAATCAATGTCTTGAACACAGCATGTCACATGCAAGCCTTCAGGCATTTGTACAAGCTCCCTCATTCACACACTGGAAGGCTCTCTTCATCAGAGTCACACACTGGGCACCCAAGTGCCAAAAGAATTGGAGGGATTTTTTTGGTAGAAACACAAACATTCAGCTATTTCACAAGCCTGGAAGTTTCCATACCAGCTATGGGGAAGTACTTAAAGGATGCCGACAGCTAATAAAGCAACTCCAGCCAAATCTCGGATTCAGACCCAACGTGAAATATCCTGTATTGTGGTTTGAGAGTCTTCCAAAGAGCAACAGGTTTAGAAAATGATATGCAGCAATAAACAAATTTAAAATAAAAATTCAACAGCTGTGTGGCAAAATGGTGTGTGGTGAACCTGCCACAAAGCTGCTGACAGCTGACTGAAGGAATAGTGTTGAGTTAAAACGACTTGCAGCAAGTGCACAGAGAAGTTCAACACAACTCAGAAAAACACCTGTCAGGTTTCTAGAGGACCTCTACAAGTTCCCCCCCATGCTGGTCACACTGCTTCAGGTAAGTATTTACCACAGGGTTAAGTATTTATTACGTGTCTTCTTTAAGTTTCTTTGTTTACACCAGAGAGCAGTTACTGAGGAGGTTAAAATGGCAAAACCAGTATCTTTAAAATTTCCTGTTAGCCAAACTAAACAGATCAGGTGGCTGCAGGGGGATCATCCTTTGACCTGTGTGCCACGTGGCAATATTCTCATTGTTAAATTACGTGTCTCAGTTTGCACAATGAATGACAATTATTTTTTTTACTGAAGTAATGAAAACCTTCAACCA